GTTAACGAAAGTTTAAGCAACCAATCAGGGCGAGGCGGAGAAACACTCCAAGTATCTGCGTCAGCGGATACTTATGACCGTAGAGGCAGTCGCCATACCGCTCACTACCCCGATCTTATGCGCACAGAAGGTGCTTGTACAGACACTAAGGCTTCCGTGTCCGAAGACCAATTCAGCAACTAACCACACGCTTCCTATCACGGCATGAGACGGTGAGGAGACAGAAAGAATGAAACCTTGTATTATCACGCCTCCCAACAAAAAGCGAGTCGAGGACGACGAGGCGACAAGAACTAATTATCGGACCCCTTTCTCCCCCTATTTCCTTCTGTGGTCCCTAATTATAACTAGAATCTGACCCCCTTCATCCCTTAACACCTCTTCTCCTTTCCCGTAATCACTACTGATTGGTTGCTTCAACTTTTGTTAATGCTATCCTCCTTTACATTATTGTATTTGCCTGATAATAAATTAATCGAAAACGTTCGTTCGCATAACTTGACTTCCTGCGTGCATACAAAGGTATCATCGCTGAATTCATTATCTTTCTTAAAATAATTTCTGCACTACTAGCTACTCATTTTCTGTCAAGAGGATCTGTCTGTTTTATTACACGGAGTACTATCACTGCTGGAAACTGATTAGAACATAAACCGAAGATGATCAAGGATAATTTGTTCAGACAAGTTAAACCTGCCTGCAGGAAAGCCACTCTACGCTTTAGGCACCGCTAGAGAGCGAGGGAGACAAGCTTTATTTTGAATTTGTCATCCCAATAATGTAAACAAAAAGTGCTCCACTCAACGTGAATAGAATTGTGCCCACAAAATCGCAGACTTCGCAGTTAAAACGAATTGTGGCGAACATCCAGGTGGGATAAACTTCCTCCGGAGATAGAGAAATATCCCCGCAGGTAGGTTGTTGATGTTGTCAGTGAGAAGAACTCGCCAGCCGTACAGTAGAATATGTTACCCAGGAAATTTCGAGCAGAATTCTGAAATATGCATTGTTCGTTCAGCCTTATCTCAAGATATTTTAGTTACCCGAAATGCTGGATTTCGATTGCTTCATTCCAATCGCCTGCAATAAAAGTAGTCTACAAAGATAACTTCTAAAACAGGTTGCATTTTTTCTCATTTAGTTTCCCCATCCTTATAAATTCTGATATTCATATATATATATA